GCCCTCGTGTTTTAGAATTGGAACGCGGGGGTGGCCCTCGTGTTTTGGAATTAGAACGCGGGGGTGGACCCTCACGTTTTTCTTTGAAGAGACCGTTAATATAATCTCTTTTTTAAGTTCACCAAAGATCGTTTTTTTGTAATATTTGTATTTGGGTTTTTGAAGTATGAGAGTCATCAATTTGTAACTCTCATCACTGAGAAACACAAGGGTGATTGACCTCATGATGATCAAGCTGTAGTAATTTTTTTGACGACCTCCACGAGGTAAGTGGGCTGCGACTCGATCTCTGAGGGTGTTTCGAAATTTGAAAACAAATCTTGGTTGTTGGATACAGCTGGATTTGATGGTTCAAATTCTTGCAGTTTATAAAATTAACTGCCTATATATAGAAACAGGGATACGCATGAGGCGGCTATTACTTCTTCAAAATCCCTTCTCAGAGAACTGTTGATCTTCTCTATATCGTTTCTTCCAGTGATTAGCTCTGATCTCCAATAGTTTATGAGTCAATTGATCACCGGATTCTTCTGGAGAAGTTCCACTCTAAGGTGACTTTGCCACAATTAAAGACAATGTCCAGAAGGTTCGACATCCCTGAGGCATATGATCTATATGCTCCGACGAGGTCAGAGACCATATTTGACCATAGGCCAGAGCGGAATCCGCTTTATGTAAGGCATTTAGAGTGTGGTCTGATATTTCCCCTGCACCCCTTCCTCAAGAAAGTGTTTGAGGGGCTAGGAGTGTCGCTAGTGCAGATGAAGCCGAACGCCATTGCAGTCCGAGTGAGGTTCGTGGTGGTCTGCCGCTAGTTAGGGATTAAGCCTTCCCTTAAAGTTTTTGGCCAACTGGTAGCTGTGAAGGTGACTCAAAAATGTTAGGTCTCATGTTTTGATGATGATTTACAAACCCCATTATTGATGCTAATTGCTTGTCAAGTGATATTACGCAGGATGTATTCTATCAAGCAATATAGTGCCATTATTGGAGGATGGATGGGTTTTGCACCGTAACGATGATATCTGTGGAGGTGAAGGCAAGTTGATGAAGAAGCCCTAAATGGCTCAAAGATCGACTCAAGCAAATATCAAATTAAGAAGAGCGTTCAAGCATATATTCAAGAAAAGCTTCATCAATAAAACTTAGCAAATATCGACACTCAAGCTTTGTATATTATTGTAAGTAATATATACATTTTTTTACTTCTCTCTAGATCATAACGTAGGCAAGAAATAAAATAGATAACTTTTGAAGAACTTGGGGATTACACACACACATTTCAAAACTCATATTTTTGACGTTTTTTGTAAAACGATAACTTTTCGCAAATGGGAAATGATATAAAAAAATTTCTTTTCTAACATGTGTGTTTTCATCAGAATAAACATTTCTCCAAGTTTCATAATTTTTGAAATTTATTTATTATTTTTAAATAAACTTTGAAAATCAAGTTTACTGTTCAAATATGAGTTGTGCATGTTTTTCGGTCAACCGACTGTTCAAACCAATTGACCAATAAACTGCTCTACGTTTTTAAATTTTGTTTCTGCTCAGATGATCGATGTTTATCAGTCGACCGAACAGTGTTATCAGTTGACCGATGCACTCATCAGTCGACTGATGACACTATAACGACTAGTTTTCCAGACTCCGGAATTTTAGGAATTTGGTTGATTTCCTTGATTTTCTTTGGATTTGGGCTATTGTTTTGAGAGACTATATACAAATTGTAGCTGTAAAATTCAAGATATGGTCATTTTAGTGAAGCGATGGTAGAACTATAAATATTCTAAATCCCGTGTAGAATTTTCTAGCTTACATCCTATGGCTAAAAATTGTTTCTTGGTGGCCAAGTTTAATCTAATGGCTCATATTAGTTTATATAATCTATAAATAGTGATAGAGAGCGAGGGTGAAAAATGTGAAAAATTTTATGAATCTTCTTTTGGAGGATAAGAGGGCTACTCTTTTGAGAATACCTTCCAAATATTATAAAATTTTTATTTTATACTAAAAATAAAAACATTCTCTTTTTAATTTTTTTTCTCATGGAGAAATGAAAAATTTATGTCTACGCAAGGGGCCAAATCCTTTTAATATGAGTTTTTATTTTTTATTTGCTTATTTAATTAGAATTTTATGTTTGGAAAATAATTTAGGTTTAATTTATTTTCTTCTTTACTTGTTTAATTTTTATGCTTAGTTAGTTTTCATGCATAATTTAGGAGTAGATTAATTTTCATGCTTAAATAGTTAGTTTATTTTCTTACTTTTATTTTTTATAATTAGTTTCTTTTCTTGTCTTTTTATTCATACCTATTTTAAATTTCTCATAATTTAGGATTTAACAAAATATGTGGTTAAAATTCTTAGAATAATTAGGATAAGGGGAAACTAGTATGACTTATTTATTAGAATTGGAATTGCTTTCTTTTATGCCTTAATTATTTATGTAAAGGTTAATCAATCAAAATAATAGTTGATAGAATATTTTAAGTTGATAGGTTATATTTTCCGTAAGTGATTTGATAATCTATGCTTATTAATATTTTAGGATTACTATTTTTAATAAATTATGTTTGCATAAATTTCAATTTTATTTTTAGAATTTATCTTGATAATCTATGCTTTCTTTAATTAGATTGATAGGTTATGATTTTTACTTTAAAAAATAAATGAATAAAGAGAGTAGTTTCTAGATCTAATAAATAGTTATCTAATGGAATCTTTAATAATTTCCTAGTTTAACTATCTTGCTCTTTCTTTCTTTCTTTTAGCCTCTAGTTTTGTTAATTTTAATGTTTTCTTTCTTTTTTCTAATTCTTCTAGTTTCTTTATTTTATTTCTAGTTCTCTTACCTCTCCATTTTCTTTCCCCCTTTTCTCTTGTTTTCCTTCTTATTACTTTTATTTTATTCTTCTATTTTTTCTTTTATTATTTGTTATTTTTGTTCTCTTCCCTCTCCCTCTTTCTATTTCTATTTTCTTTTCTTTATCAAAAATCGACAACTACTTTTTCAACTTCTTTTCATTAAAAATCACTTTTGAAATAGCTTTTGGAAAGAAAATTTTCAATTTAAAATTAAAAAACCCTCTTCTTGTGGTTCGATATTTTTTTATATTATAACTTGGTTGTGCACTTACCGTACAACAAGTTTTTAGTGTCATCTATGGGGAATGAGTTATTTTTTATTTATTTTAGAATTTTCCTTTTCAAGGTTCTTTGATTTTTTTTGTTGAGTTGTGTAGGATTCAAGCTTAGATTGAAGGTGATTTGGAAGAAAAGGTCAATCTTTGCTTTCATCAAGGCAGGTAAATTTTTTCACTTTTACTTTTTAATTCTTAGTTAGATACAATTTAGTAATTTAGATTAATAAAACAATAAAAAAAGTTTGTTTTTGTTGATCATAATAAAATCCACAACCTTCTTCGAATGATTATTAAATAAGATAAGAAAAAGTCAAACAAAAATTCACTTTTGTTTTCTCTACCCTAAAAAAAAGTCTAGAAACAATTTGCTTAAGGCATCCACTTGTAGATTGCATTTATTTTCATAGGCTGCAGTCGGTGTCTAAAAACAGATATTAGAATGGCAAAACGCTCGCAAGAAAAGAGGTTATATAATTAGGATTTAAGTCACGCTCAGGATGAGCCCCCTATGGATTTACTCTTACCTGACCATTTGATTAACCAAACTGAGATTTAGTATGGCCTGAAGGAGTCTATAGTTAGGAGCTGGTCTAGTGCAGTTTAGGATTAACTTTAGATTAGGAAAGTGATTGAGTTGTTTATCTTTTGCTTTGTTTAGTTAGGACTTTCTCTTTTTCTCATTTTCAAAAATCTTTTAGATATTTTTACGTTGAAAAAAATACTTTTAAGTCTTTTTCTTAGGTTTTACTTTAAAAATTTTGACGACGATAGTTTTTATTAGTTTATGCAAGCTTGGATTAGGGATAATACAAAATATATAGTTCTTGTTAAATTTAAATTAAATAAATGGCTAATCCAAGTCCATTCATTCCTCAAGATATGTATTATGCTACTAGGAATGTAATCTCATCTTGCATTAGACTTACATATGTTAATGGTGATAATTCTAAGCGTAGACCTCATTTCATAAATATTCTTCCCAAATTTTTCGAAAATGAGTCTGCAAATGCTTACATTTTCATATCTGAATTTCAGGAAGTCTGTCTTATAATAAAATTAGTGAGTTATATGAGGATGCAATCAAGCTCATATTTGTCATCTTTTCTCTCAAGGATAAGACTAACAAATGGTTGAATAACTTGTCTACAAATTCGATCTCCACTTAGGATGAATTTATTACCTTTTTTTCAAAAAAAATCTTCCCAATTAATAAAGTGGTAAGCTTTGGAACAACATTAAAAAATATAAAATATTCTTTTGAGAATAATTCTGGAACTATTTTGATAGGTTTAAGAAATGTATCATCCAATATCCTCATCATGGTTTGGAAAAATGGGGATTATGCTAACTTGTCTATGAAGAATTAGACTATTCTTTAATGCTATCCTTAGAATCTATTTGTTAACGAGATTTTATGAAGAAAAATGCTTATGAAGCTTAGAAAATTTTAGAGGACTTGTCTGAGAAAACCATGCAATAGAAACAATGTGATAAAAGAACAACTTTATCAGTTCCCTCAATCAAATGTCGTGGTTTGTCCTTAGATTCGAACATAGCCTCTGAAGCTAAGATAGCTACAATCTTGCGTCGGTTAGAAGCTTTAGAAACCAAATATCGAGTTCCCGCTCATATCCTATTGTTGATCAAGCAAGGTGTGATGATAAGATCTGAACCGGTAACCTTAAACTTGTTGTTTATGTTTCCTAGATGCATGCTAAAGTTTCTTTATTTTTGCTATGCATAATCTAGTTATAGAATACCACTATTGTATACGTGTAGTTAGCTGGATCTTACAAACATATTTCAAGTTTAGAATACAAGATCTTATTTCAGACTGGTATTATAATTTCAAGTAGCACAAACACTTGGTTCTTTGAGATTCAAGCAGTAGGATGCACTTGAGGGCTTGGAGCAACCAGCACCATGATGCCTGAAGTAAAGATCAAATTCCACGATAATATTCCTGCCAGGCTCAACCACAATATTCCTACCAATAGCATATCCTCTTGCAAGCCGAAACTTCCCAGTCCCTCCAATTACATTCACTTCCCAACTACTCAATAATAGTCGTATTGGCCTCCCAAATATGGCAAGCGTACTTCCTTTATACTCGCCAATCGTAAACACAAAATTTGCTTCGACAAGGCTCGATCCTTCATCTCTTGATGCAGTGGTGCCTGTCCCTTGAGATTGCCCAATAAGTTTCGAGATTGGGTCTGCTCCTTCTCTTAGCTCGTTTTCGAAAACCCTGATTGTTCCGAAGGAGGATGGAGTACTTGTGGTCACGGCTGTTATGGAAGTGGGATTTGGACCAGTGAAGTTCTCGTGTAAGTATAAGTGTAAGTGAGTTTCGGTTTCTTGTGTGAAGGATTGTGATGAGGGAGGGATTGCTGTGAAGAGGAAATAGAGGAGAAAGGAGGAGATGTAGGGGTTCATGATGACTATGGTTGAGAGAAGAATATGTCATGATAATTTGATTTATAATAGAATTCTTAGGAATGAGTTCTAATAGATATTTTTGAGTATTAAATTATTGCGTTTTGCTTGGATGATTTTCTTGTGAAAAGTTGGTAAGGAATAAATGAAGTAGTAATTTCTAGTGTAATAGAACATTAAGGTTGAACATCATTTTCCCAACGATACTTGAATGTCAACGGTGTGCGCAAGATACTGTATAACTTGCAGGTTGCACATCGTTTTCCCCCAAAATTGAGAAAAATTCTCAAAATTGTTTCGGAGCTTGGTATGTTATTAGCATCAATCCAAAATTTTGAACAACTGTTATTTGGTCAATTTCCATCAAAGCTATTGCTCTATCGTTTTCCCTCAAAATTGTTTCGGAGCTCGGTAAGTTAATTGTTATTTGGTCAATTTCCATTAAAGCTTGTTATATTAAGTTGTAGAAGCACTTTATAAAAAGGGAGTGCAAGGTTTCTAGAGATATTGGCTTATTGTATCTTCTCTTACAGTAAGAGAGCTCTAAAGACAAGCGACCAAACATAAGAAAGAGATTGACAAATGAAATCTGGAAAAGAACATGCATGTGTGATGAAATTTTGAAATTTTCCCAAAGTGAGCGTAGATCTTATGTTTAACATATGAAACTTAGAAAAAAATATGTAAGTGGTAATTAACACACACTTTCACTTTAAAACCATCTGTTGGCTATTTATGATATAAACACTCAAATAAGTGGGTGGATAATGTCTTATCTTAGAGATAATATATTTATAATCCTAATAAATGTAGGATTCTATCTCTAAGGCTTTATAATTAGATATAGGGTTTTCATGAAGGGTGGATGAGAGAAAAGACCATAAACCTTTACAAATCCGTCATCAATTCTTTTCTGATCAAATTTGTGCTTTATGCGGTAGTCGCAGGGTGATATGCGGGGACTTCTCACCATATATCGGTGTAGTCGCCATCCGCCATTGTTCGAATATCAAGAATAATGTGTGACGACCCTTCTACAAGATCCGAGAAATGTAATCTCTAACCAATAGTTATTTTTATGCATGGTTTAAATTGGTATCAGAGCGAGATTAGGGTTGCTCACATATTTGATCTTCTTTTAGGGTTTAGATCTAATTGCATATTATATTGTATAGAATAGATCTAGTTTCTTGATGGTGATTTGAGTCTCTTGAACAGATAAAATTAGGATTTTTATTATAAAAATTCATTTTTATTAAAAAATTAAATTTTTCTGTAAAATTCTAAAATTTGACATCTGGGAGCTCAGATCCACAATAAAAATTTAATCTTTATGAACTAGTAGGCAATTTTAATAAATTAAGGATTTATTAATTTGTTGAGGTCTGAAACATTTTTCAAAATTTTTTCATTTAAAATTTTTCTTTTTTAAAATTCAAAAAACATTTTCGCCAGCCATCGGCGCTAAGGGCGCATTCTGCTATAGGATCGGGTGCGAGAGTCTTCGACACTGGGAACAGGAGGCCCATTATCCGCCACAACTGACGCTGGATGTTAGTAGCAGCAATTATAAAACAAAACAAAAGAGGTACATCGGGGCCGTCGTGATCACGGTGCTGGATTGCTGTCGCTAATAGTGAAGTAGAGGGGCCTCGCGACAAACTTCGGATCAGCCCCTAGGGGGGCAAATCCAAAAAATATCTTTTTTATTTTATTTTCTTAATTTCTAATAATTATAGAAATCTATTTTTAAATCAAAAAATTAATTAAAAATAATAAAAAATATCTAAAAAATTTTGGAAAATTTTTAGAGAATATTTTTATTATTTTCCCTATGAAATTTAGGAATTTTTTTAATTGAGACTCACTAGATTTGATAAAAGAGTTGTTTTTTAGATTTTAGAAAAATAGTTTTTGAACTTTGAAAGTTCAGAAAAATTAACTTTATACACCAAAAATTTTAATTGTAAAGTCCTAATAAAATCCTAGAGGTTTTGATGGGCAGCTGTTCTAGTGGGATCACCTGGGACACATATCAATTTCACGAGAAATAAAAAATCCTAATAAAATTGACAAGATAACTTAGGTAGTTAAATGTAAAGTGAAAATAATTGTTTATGTTTGTCATGCCTCATATTTACATGCATACCAGTCAAATAAACAGATAAGTTCAGGCGGGAGATTTTTGGTAGAGATGATAATATGTTTAACTATTAAATCAATTCTATCTCTAAGAAATCCAATGTTCTATTTTTAAAAATTCTATAATGATTTTAAAAATTATATCTTTGAGCAATATGTTTTGGGCCTTAGGCCTTCTAGTCTTTGTTTGGGATGTAATTCTATTATCGATATAAAAGGCTTAATGAGATGGAATGTTCTTCAAGGAAGAATAATACTCCACATAAATGCCAATAATCTTACTTTATCCGTAATTAAAGTGTGTTAATCCTTCTCTTAAGGTACCAATATAGTAATTTTGAAGACAGTCTAGGACTGAGTAGTTTGAGATACTTTTATTGGAAGATCCATTTTTTGCTAAAAGATGGAGATTTTGGTGAGTACTAAGGCAGTAGTACTATATAAGTCAGAAAAGAGTTCAATCTGACTTATTTGAGGTCGGTCGTTACAAGATATAGAAGCAAACTTATTGTTGAAGTGGCTCACTGCATGGATTGCAAAGAGAGACAATCTTACTAAGGATTACGAGGATAATCCAAATGCAAAAAGCTTCCAGGATGCACTTAACTCTGAGATTTGGATAAGTCTCTTCAATGAGGATCTAGAGTTCTTATTATTAAGTTGGGTTCTTACAGGATAACTGCTAAGCAGAATATTAAATTTACCTTTATATGATGACCTTTATGATCAAGGATCATGAGAAAGTTGGAACTATGTCGAGCTGGGAATATTGGATAAAAGTGAAGTTGGAGTCTAAACACCAAGGAGTGTTCAAGACTAAAATATTTACTTTGGCTTTGAAAGCTGATGTGGCACAAGGCTGAGAGCCTAAATGCAGTGGTACACCTAGAAATTTTTCAGAATAGTTTTTGAAATAAAATAAGCCGATAAAAACAGGAAAAGTCCAACTAATAAGAAAGATCAATTAATTTCACTACAAACAAGCTGATCGTCTAGCGCATGAAGGCATGTATAACTGAGAAAACTCGGGACTCCTGAATAAGAGTAGAAAGATTTGACTGAGGATAATGTAACAGTGTTAGGCACTGATGCATATAGATATCCTCTGAGTTAAGAGAATAAATAGATCTTTTAGCCAATTCTATTTACTTTCACTAAGAGTAAGAAATCATCTCTCAGAAGTTAGTCTTGTGTGATTCTAGTCGGTTTCTTGTTTGAGAGTAACTTACTTAGTTTTGCTTCAAGATTTCTCTACTTATATAAGCCAAGCTAGTTATTTAGTTGATTTTAAAATGTGAATTATCTCTAGATAACTAGGCTATCTTCTAGTTTATATTATATTGTGAATTAGTATTGGATCTAATTATGGTATAATAGACTAAGTCACATAAGAGGACACACAAAGCTCGTTGGGAGTGTTCTATTTGGTATATGTACTAAGGTATTTGTCTTTCTACAAGTACAATGTCGTGAGTAAATTCACTAGAAAGCCACTTGGAAAGTCTATGAGCATCCTAAATTGTAATTTGCTCACTCTGTTATATGTAGACTAATATTAATGAAGGTACAAAGTAGAGTACAATAATTCCTCATATTTGTAGGTTATTACTTTGTTTACGATCATGTGTCTCTGATTACATGCCTAGTTAAGTGCCTGAATTTGTTTCAAGCACTAAATTAGCAACGTGGATAATCATTTAAGCAAAAATATTAGGGCTTTGCACACTAATCGTAAATGAGTGTCTATCTTAAAATTTTAGGGAACTATGTCAAGAGAGAGGAAATTCCTACAGTTGACAGCATCCTATATTCTACTACAAAATGGTGTTGCAAAAATGATGAATTATCCTCCATTAGATGTGGTTCGAAATATATTAGTTGGCGCTATCCTACCCATTTGGTTTTGGGTAGATATACTATTTATGGTGACATATATTCTGAACCGTATACCTTCAAGTTTGGTATAGTCAGTACCCTATAAGTCATGGACGGTCGAGGGCTAGTGTTGGATCACTATGTTCATGAGGGAATATTGCTTTCCTACATTGCTTTTCATTGGATGAGAAGCTTGAACCCTAGCATGTTGAAGTGTATTTTCATACACTATTTTAGATACACTCTAAGTTGTGTTTACATGTGAGCAACATGATGAGACTATAACTAAAAGAGTTGTGGTATATTAAGTTTCTTAGGGAGAATTTCATGGACAAAAAAGAAATAGGTTGAGATTTGGGCTCATACGAGATCAAGGGGACTATCATGGAACCAGGAAAGGAGGAGAAATTGGTTCCTTTACTAGCAAGTGGATAGTAGGAGTGAGATATTTTTAGATGACTTGGAGCCATCTATAAAATCTCAACTGCCTCGGAGATCATTTCATGGATAAGTACCTAAAAGATATATGAGATCTATGGTGTTATATCCTGCAAATGACTAAATGTTAATCCCCTATGAGAAGCCAACACGTGTCCCTTATTAGCTCAATACGAGATCAACTCATCCTATACATAATGGCTCGAGTGGCTCCAACACTAGACTCTTCCCAAGAAGGACCGAGTCGAAAGGCATCCTCACTCGACTCACCATTCAAGCCCCACACCTCTTCACTCCACAGGGCGGATTTAACAACTTTCAAGGTCAACTAAAAAGGCAGTAATTATCGGCCCGCTCGCAAGACCGACATGAGGCATCATCTATGAGCCCTCTCATGAAGTCGAGTCGAGAGGTGGTTTATCCTTGAGCCCACACTAACAGTCGGTCAGCGTCACATTAAATGTATATTCAGAGTCATCATTTCTCTAGTCCTGAAAGTTTTTATGACTCATCGGACCTCGTTAGCCCTACATATACCCTGTCAC